AAACAATACTAAGGAGGGGGGCAATGTTGCGTCAGCGAGGTCACGTGACTAGTGTCACGCCACTCGTTCTCTCGACCCTTCGGGAGATTACTAGATATAGGGTAGTCTGGTATATATATAAGAGGGTGACAACGTGACGGACAATGTGTGTATAGGTAGTGAGTAATTGAACTAAGTATTGTCGAGCACGAGCACATGAGACATCCTCGCGTTTGTTATAGAGCGACTGTTGAAGATAAGTGTATCATGAAGTTATATTCAGAAAGAATAAACCAGTTTTATTAAGTAAGGACTTGTGTCGCTAAAGTTTCGTCGGAACGAAGTTACGGGAAATCAACTAGCGAACGGAGACGTAACAATACTGAAAAACTTAACACAGATCTCCTGGGAAAAAGAACAATACCTATCTTACAAGGAAAAAATTGCCAACCGAACACAAGACATGAACTCCCTGCGAAACAAAAGTCTGTGCTTTCCTCAGCAGATATCATGAAACATAAGACTGAGGCCTATTGTTATAACTGCTGTCTACTTATGGTGGGAAACAAAAGTCTGTGCTTCCTCAGCAGACATCATGAAACATAAGACTGAGGATTGGTAAACTTTTTAAAAGTTCACTAGTCTTTTATACCCCTATATTATTTTTCATCATTGCAGCAACATGTGCTGGTCATGTGACCATCCTCCACCAATCTCATTGCTCTCTCTACCCTTGCAGCACAATCCTCACTTTCTCAATTGGCATTCTCATGTATAGACGTGTGTTTAACATTCTCCATGTGACTGCACACTTTTTGATTGTGCTTTGTCACCAGTTAATAACAGTTTTAAGTTCAAGTTTCTACTCATTTGTTTTTGAGATGTTTCTGTTTCTCAAATTCTACTCAGGTTTCTTATGGCAGTTGGTAGTTTTCCCACCATAAGTAGACAGCAGTTATAACACTAGGGCCTAGCAGGCAAATGAAGGTGGAGGTAGCTATGGGGGAGAGGAGGTAGTACCGTTTTGGAATGGGTATTTATCACATTCCATAAGAAGACATCCTAGTCAAATAAACAGATGCAGTGGGAATTCTGTGCAATCAGAATGTTGAAACTGGTGATGGGAAACTGTCATCTTTGTTTGCTAGATGGATTATAGAAGGCAGGAAGGAATATGTAATTTGGACATGACTGGAAATCATGCTTCAGAGTTATTATCAAGATGTGCAATCATCAGATAGAGCATGATCAGATATAGTGATATGGACTGTAACAATGTGATAAGGTTTCAAAAGTTTTATATAACATACTCACTACTCTGTATATAGGCTTTGTATCCATCACTCAATTAGGACTTTCCTACATATAGTATAAAATAACGGTCATTAAAATATAAAACCAAACATTTACCATTACTTCACACCTAATAACACTACTTACTTGTCACCCTGGCTTCACTCTCTGCTGTTCCTTCATCATTGTAAATGATTACAGCATATTTTCCTGCATCTTGTGGTGTCACCTTATCAATGATTAATGCTACAATCCCATCTGGTTCTTCAACAATAGTAAAATGTTCACTGGGTACAAGTTCTTGGCCATCTTTTGTCCTAAGACGAGGAAAGAAAGAAATTTCTTCAGTATATATAAATTATTAACTTGCACGCCTTAAAAACTTTACACAAAAAATATAACATTTTACTTAGGACAGGATAGGATATTTAACCTAACAGAATATAAACTACTTTTTAACTGAAAATTTCAATCGTTGTTCTTGTAAAAGAACAATTTTGATATTTATTAGTTACTTCTTATTAAATACATTTAAAATAATTACACAATATTATCAAAGGAGGCTAAATTATTATTTAGGTAAAAATTACAAATACATATGAGGAATAAAGTTATATATTATGGCTGCACAAATACAAGAAAATGAGACTTCTTATTCCTGTGCACACATCATACCTTCTAGTATTTCATTCATTATCATATACAATGTAGCTTT